TTTGAGGAGGGATGTGAGGGAAGGGGCAGCTGAGAGGCAGTGAGAAACAGAAGAGTTGATATATGAGTGGGCACCTGGGTGGCTCAGTTGGTTAAGCGCCTGCCATCGGCTCAGGTCATGATCCTGGAGTCCTGGGATCAAGTCCCGCATCGGGCTCCCTGCTCAGCTCTGCTTCTCCCTCTGACCCTCTTCCCTCTTGTGCTCTCTATCTCTCATTCTCTCTCTCTCAAATAAATAAAATCTTTAAAAAAAAAAGATATATGAGTGATATCTAAAGGGTAAAAAGTTCCTCAAGTATGTACAATAGGAAAGGAACCAGAGGGGCAGGAGAATGTGGTTGGAGGATGGGGTGTTTGAAATAGTGATTTCAGATGTGATGCCGTTTCTAATCAAGTTCTATACAGTTAACAGGACATAAACAAGGCTTAATGGAATAAACTCTAACAGAAATGATTTACTTCACTTACTAGTAAATTTCTTTTTTCTTATCTTGTCTTTTCTTTTCCTTCCTTTTCTTTTCTTTTCTTTTTAGGAGAGGTTTGAAAGACTAATTTCTGTTTCTAATGGAGTTTATAGAACCTCTTTTTAAAGATATTGTTTGATTTTTAAAAGCAAAGTAACTACCCAAAACTTTCCTTATTTTAGCTATAATTTCTCTTAAGGAAAAAAGAGTTGTTTATAACTGACTTCTCAAGATCATGGCAGTGGTATAGAATCCTTTGACTTCTAAGTAATGGGCTTTTTTAAAAAAGGAATTTTGTATTTTATTTTTACCTCTGAAATTGATTAATTGTATTCATGTATGCAAATGAGCAAAATGTGTAAGACCTAAAGATATCATTTGATTAAATTATATGAATTTTTAAAAATTCATTATTAGTATGTTACAGGATCTAGCTAAGAGTTACTGTTAGCTCTGTGAAGTCATAGGCATAAAAAACGTTATTTTTGTAATGTGAAATTAATGTTATTGAACAAAACATCTTATCAAATAATTTTGTAAGGCTGCTATAATCTGAGAGAAAATATAAACTCTATTAATAAATTCTTTTGTCTCACCCCATTAATATCATATCAGTTAGAGTTGGAACAACACTTATTAAGACACTGAATATCATGGGGGCACCTGGGTGGCTCAGTCAGTTAAGCATCTGACTCTTGGTTTCTGCTCAGATCATGATCTCATGGTCGTGATCTCATGGTCATGAGATTGAGCCCCACATCTGGCTCTGCACTGAGCTGAGCATGGAGCCTGCTTAGGATTCTCTCTCCTCTCCCTCTGCCCCTCTCTGACTGCTCACATGCTGGCTCACTTTCTCTCTCCCTCTCAAAAAAAAATGAATCAATACAATAAAAAAAAAGTCATTGAATATCATAAAGGCAGTACAATGAAAAGCAACATGTAAGCGCAATTCACATGGACATTTCTGAAAATAGTAAAGTAATTGTGTAAGATAAATAAATTTTCCCATTGTATAGGGAGAGGGCAACAAGTTCTTCTTTTACTAAAAATACAACTATTTAAACAGTAAGTCTGGGCGATTTGAAACATTTCCTTGGAGCACCTTTCTGGGAACTAGGTGGTTGATTTGATGTGGGGAAGCTGACGCTAAAGCCAACAAACTGGAGCACTAAGCTGAAGTATTATATTCAGTCACTGGAATTTAGGATAATTATGTTTTTTTCATCTCAAGATTTTTTTAAGAAAACAAATAAATTAACAAAACATTTAAATACATATACACTTCCAAGGCATATAGAATAACGTCAAGTGATAGTGGGCTTAAATATCAGAGAAAAACGACAACAACAACAAAGCAACAGTAGTAGAAATTCAGACAAACTGGAGTCTGTCTGATTTGACCAGACCATGGTCCCCAATTCCAGGAATCTTGCTCAATAGCCACATTTTTAAAGTATGTATTCTATACCATCTGATGGATAAAAACAAAACAAAACACAAAAGACAAGACAAAACAAAACAAAAACCCTGTGTTCTTCCAATGAAATGGTGCTATTTGAAACAAAAACTAGAAGTGTGTATAAATGTAGATATTTTTCTTAAGAAGGTGGACCTTTAGGGTCATTTTCTTAATGTTGTTCAATGTGATCTTCCTTTATGGGAATTAAGGACATACTGGCCATTCAGTAGCTGTGTTATTATTGTCATTATGAATCCATTAGACATATTCAGGTGAGTTGAGTTACAGCCTTGTGACCAAATTCTCCTCTCCTACTTTTAGCATAGCATTTAGTAGAATACAAATTGTTCCTTATTCATTTTTGCCTATGGTAAAAATTCTAAGAAAATATAAAAGTCATCTCCTGTGCCCCTGGATATCAATAGAAATATTGGGTTTAGTGATTTTTAAGTTGTTGAATTTTGTCATTTATTAAAATAACCAGTAACACACAGCTACATCTAATAAACTTAGTAGTAGTAGTAGTTACTGAATCTAGAATATTCTACCCCAAGAATAAAGTTGCATGCTGTGGGGTAGGGTGGGGCAAAGAGATCTAATGTTTAATAAGAGTATGCAGTTTCTATTATCTTCAGAAGCTTTATCTTTCTTTAAAATGGTATAAAACATTTGCATATAAACAAATATATACATACTCTAGTTTGCAAAAGAGACAGGTAGCATGATTGCAGTAGATGTTATTTTAGTTTGAAAGTTAAACTTGGAATACTCTACCTTATGGAAGAACCCAAACTAAGAGATATGTCAAATAAGACTTTTATCTTAATAACCTTGGGAATATTAGCAACTTCAACTTAATTCTTAGGTCCAAATTACAAATAAATTTGCATACATGAAGCTTTTTGTTGCAGTTTGATATGTTATTTAATTACTTATAATGATTTATACACAGAGTAGATGAGCTAAAAGTGTTAGTATGAAATGTAGGTAATTTTGCATTAAAATTACACCAGCCTGTTTAAAATACTGAATTTATCATTAATTTTGCCAGTGCAACTGTATTTTAATTACCGTGATGCCATACTAATGTTTTGAAAGAAGTTCTGAAAATAGTAAGAGGTGTTTCTGCTTAGTATTTATTGAAATTGCCAATAGCAGTCTACGAATCTATTAATCTTCTAGCATCTATCCACGAGGTAAGAGAAGCTCAGTCAAAATATTTTCCTTAATATTTCTTTAACTTTTAAAAAGACCATACTGTTTGGAGTCTGTTGGTCACCAGATTTATCAACCATTTAGGAAAATGACCCCTTTCATGGCTCAATCAGAGCCTCATCTAAAATTCAGTAGAATCTAAGATTTCAAGGTGCCATCCCCACTCCTGTTTCCATGGGAATAGACTTCAGATCAGGAAAAAAAAAATTGGATGGGGTTAGAAGCTTTCAAATAATCATTCAAAATCATGATGAAGCTTTTAGAGCCGCTTTCTTAGGTGATTATTTTGTAGCCTCTTAACCCCTTTTTGCCAGTCTGTTTCCATGGAAATATGACAAAAATGGCTGTCCAAGCCTCCAGCAGAGATTATTAGCATTAGCATTCTTAGCATCTTGTGCAGCTTTGGCTGCAGTCTAGGCTGGTCAAGATCTTTTTTTTTTTTTTTTATCAGTTTTACATATTAGCATACACTGTTTATATTCATTGTCCTTTTCTTCATTATTTTTACTTAGAAAATTCCCTTTACAACTATATACCTATAATCAAGATCAAATTGATTGTGACATCACTGAAAAAGACTTCAGTTTTACATTTTACTACATGAGCCAGGACATGTAGCTGCAGAGTGTCAGAACTTTTAGACACCTACAGAAGGAAACACCATTTAGTTACTGGATTCAGTATCTGTTAGGTGTTGGCAGATAAGTAAGGGTGGTATTCAAAATATTTAGCAACTGGTAAGGTGCAGCACCAACTGATCAGAGCAGCTGGTTTGTACCAGTTAATTATCAGCCCTATTATCTAATAACCAATACGTTGCTGAACTAAAAGCAGCCCTATATAAGAGAGTAAGCATTTTACACAAATAAATTATCCACCATCAACTTACAAAAGAGCTTACGAGAGAAACTGTGTAGAAATATATAGCAATCCATATTTACAGTGCATATGCTTGCATCATCTTTCATATGAAGGTCATTTGAAAATCAAAATCATTCTTATTATTGAAGACATTATGCTAAACGAGAAAGAATATCTATATGGGTCTTTGATAGAACCCCTGGCAAGATACCTTGTGTTGAATGTGAAAAAAATAACAGCATACTACATAGATATTTTATCTGTCCTACCTTCTGAAATTTGCTGAACAGCTCAATCTACAATTTTTGCTAGGGGAAATCTTAAAGTTCTGATTGACCTTATAAAGTATTTTTATTCTTCAGAACTCTCTTATTTCTCTATAGTTGGAACTTATTACCCATAAGGTTTGTCTTCTGAATTTGAACTAGAAAAAAAGTAAATTTCAATTGGTAATTGTCTGACTTAGGTAGGTTCCTAATTTAAATTTAACACTAACTTACTATAGAAACTAATCTTGATTGATGTTTTCTGGTAAGTAGACCATAACAATAATAAAATAAAGCTGCCCAATTATTTTTTCAGATCATCATTCCTACTCCAAATGCAATTTGCCTTTCTTTGCATAGTGGTGAAATACATAGCCCTTGAGAGCAGGATTTGGTTTGCAGGCCTTCAGCCTTCAGCTTGTTGGTATAAATAAAGTTTACTGGAACACACTCATGCCCATTCTTGTGTTTTGTTTTTAAGTGTCTATGGCTGCTTACCTACTAAAAGGATGGACTTGAGTAGTTTCCACAGAGACCACATCGCACAAAAAGCCTATTTATTCTCTGGTCCTTTAAGCAAAAGTTTGCTGACCCCTGCTCAAGGTTTTAATTATAGAGTATACCATTTCTACAGAGGAAATTTTGTAAGTAGTGAAGTCTTTTTTTTTTTTTATTCTAAAAGCAGTCTATTAATAATGGATAAAAATGAGATTGCCTGGTGTCTATCTATACTTACATCCATGAACTCCACATTGGCTTTGGGACCAGTTGTTTCATTAAGAATCTTAATAGCCACAGGAATCTTTACTGTTTCTCCTTCAGGTACCCAAATACCCTTTGGGGGAAAAAAATCACATTAAATCTATATGAAGATATACAAATTTATACCAGAAACAAAATTTGATTTAACCACTCAATCTATTAATTTCTTAAAAAATAATTTAGAGGTTCTATATTCTTTTATTCAGTCAACAAACATTTATCTAATACCTGTTGTATGTTACAAGTTACTTGGCAACTTTGCTGTCCACTTTCATTATCTGAAGATGAATCATATATTTATTCTGCTTTTAAGGTGTTTACTATTATATTATAAAGCATTGCTATTATAAAAGTCAATTCGTATGTGTGAAAAAGGCTTTTAATGGAGACAAAAATGAAATAAGATACAATAATATCAGATTTGGACAATATATCAGCTTCTTAAGACTTGGAGAACACTGTTCAAATTTTTGATCTTCAATTGTCTCATTTGTAATTTAGAAGATTGGGTTCTTTAATGTTGGAGGTTCTTTTCAGCTTTAATATTATCTAATTATTCCGCAACTAAAACAAATAAAAATACATATTCTCATGTTCCTGAAGTTCGGATTGATTTAAGAATTAGTTTACTAAGGTGATTATTTAAGAATTAGTTTTCAAAGGCAAGTACTAGGGTGTACTGAGCACATATTAATTTGTTTTTATTATCAAATATTGTGTATGTGTGTTTCAAGGAATTTTATTATCTCTGAATATAAAATATCTATACTGGTCATTGCCAGTTCTCTTTTCCTACAAAAATATAATTATAATATCTGAACAGGATCTACACACTGGGAAAGTATAAAGTAGATAGAGCTTGAGTCAAGTACAACATTAAGGTAAATGACAACATTCCTGAGTAAACAATTCAACCATTTGATTTAGGATAATAATTTTGATAAGACATAGGGGGATGCATCAATTATATAAGAATTTTTTTTAAAGCATATTGTCCCAAATGAATACAGAAGCAAGAAAATCTCAAATTTTAATTTATTAGCCCTGACATCGAAAAAAGTCTTCTTAGTCCAGTTTTAACATTAAAATGAAAGGGGGGAAAATTCTTATTCCTAAAGAGAATATCTCTAGTTTTTCTTAATATCAGTTGGTTGTAGTCATAAAGTAAAAAAAAAAAAAATTTTTTTCACTTTGTACTTCTATGCTAAAACATATATATTTGTGTTACTGAAAGTTACAATAATATGAGGAGACCTAAACACAAGAATTATTAAAAAGTCAGAAAAATACAGAAAAAAAGGCTTTAGCCATTAGAAGGTGAATTTAAGAGTTATGTTCTTCTTAAAGTGAATAGGGAAATCTATGTGTCAAATACAAAAAAATAAGCCAAGTTCCTTGTAGTATAATTTTTTTTAATTATTAATAAAGAAATGGGGGGGAGGGGAAGCCCAAGATCCACAGGCTACATTTTCTTAGTGATGGTATCTAGGGTAGTGAAAGGCTTACCATTATTCAATAAAGCAACCACAGAGGGGTTACTTTATAAAGATAGAGTATGAATGTTAAAATATTCCTAAAGTATACTTTTGGAATAGGATATAAATTCAGTGTGAATTAATTTGTACTGCTTTTTAAATAAGTATAGTCATTATTTTCTAGGTCTGACCGGACAAAAATTCAACTACACTAATACCCATGGTATTGGTTCAAATCTTTCATGCTTAAACACAGCATATCTCCAACCAGGAGAAAAATCAACCAAATAATTACCTAAGCTAATTTGCATTTCTGTGGTCAAGGATACTTCTTTATAGTTTAAGGCAATATGCCTTGGTAAGAACTAATATATTAATTAAAACTTAGGACAAACCATAACACACTGTAAGTATAAAATTCAAACATACATACGGAACTTTCAATACATGTAATTTCAGTAAAGGTACAATGCTCATGGACAATAGGTAAATAGTTGTTCATAATAAAAACATTTATAAAGCTTTATAATTAAATGTCTAAATGGTATCCATGATTTAAAATAAAATTCACTTTCCAGACAATACCATCTTTAAAATAAAAGGCTGATTATATGCTAGGAACAATCCAAAATTGAGTTATCTTTGAAATGAAAGTCCATCATTTCTAGCATAATATAAATAGAAAAACAGGATAAGTTGTATTTCTTCAAACATACAAAGAATCTGAAGACCAGAAAGCACCAAGCCAGTCTAGAATAGTTTCTATTCAAATTAGGTGCTCAATTAATAATTTTTAGTTTAACTGAACAAAATATGCATACTAAGAGATTAAGAAATTTCCGTATTTTGGCCTTAGAATAAGATAATTTTATTTTAAAGAGATTAAATCATATTTGGAACACTCAGGATGGAAAATTAAGGTTTCTATTCTAATTATTAATATTTTTTGTTAAATAAATATTTGTTTTAAGCAGGAAAAAAATGAACATTTTAAAGTGCAAAATTTCTAAGATCCAGTCTATTTTAACAGAAATGTTTGTAAAAACTGCAGGCTTGCATATAGCTTTAAGAAATATATAAAACTGTCACAAAGTAAAATTTGGGGAACTGTCACAATGGACATTATAAGAAGGATTTAGCACTAACCCAGCAGAGTTTCTTATACTTGTTACTTACATTAAAAATAAATCTCACCACAATTAACCTTAGGCCTGGCCTCTGAATTAGTTTTATAATTAAGCTAAATAAGTAAACATGCAGATGACATTATCTGAACTTTGCCTTTCCAGAAATATCTCTCTTATTGGAAACGCATGATTTCACCCTCCGTTCTATCTAACCTGAATTTCACAAATAAAGGCACTTTTTTAGTTTGCATATAATGGTAAGGACATCAAAACTGAAAATTTTCTGCTAAATTATATCCGTTAACAGGTAGGCAAAAAAGTGGTTTAGGAACTAATCCTATCCTGTTAACAAATCAGCACATTTGTGTGGATCCTAAGGAGATAGGCAGTGCCATCCTGGTGGGGAGAGGTGAGGATAAAAGGGCAGAAGCAAAGAAGAGCAAGGGTTATGGCACATGCCTCAGGCCCGTCTGGGAGTCCATGGAGCACTGTGTAGGGGGAAGGAGAATGGGCTAGAGTTGTGTATTTTAGATAAGGACAAAATTTGCCAACAGGGAGATGCTATCAAAAGCAGATCACAAGGGCATGGAAAGTGAATACTGCGGCTCTTTGTGACAGTTTCTTGCTTTCCTATGCCAGTTTCCATCCCAGCTTGCTCAATAAAAATGAATGAATTCATTTGTGCAGCAACTTCTCAATACGATACAAGTTCTCCTCTCTGAATATTAAAAGGAAATTAGGTTAGCTAGAGCAATAACTCTGGCTATTATTTAAGACAAGTCTGAAACAAAAAACAACTGGTGGTATGGGTTATTTTTTTTACTGACCTTATAAACTGTTCCAAAAGCACCTGAGCCAAGTACTTTCACTCTTTTGAGCTCAGTTTCTTTCAAAATACGAAGTTGAGCTTGATTGGGCGCCGTACCACTGGGAGTTAAGGGTTCTACCAACTACAAAACAAAAAGAATTCAGGTTCTATAACTTTCAATTCCAGGCAGTGTCTCTCCCTCTTCCTCTGCCTGCTTCTCTTTCTCATACATACGGAAAAACACACAAGCACACTCTCCTTGACAAACAATATTTTTGTCGTATGGATCACTCACTATTCCCTCAGAGTCTATTCTTTCTCTTCTCATGCTTTTTGCCTGGTGAACACAAGTATAAAAGTGTGCCTACCTTGAGGCACACTAAACTAGGAGATTTCCCCTCACCCCCCCACAACTTTAAAGAAATTTAGGCTAATAGGGGCTCTTAATCGTACTTTTTGAAGCCCTTCCAGTATTGGTATCTCCAGCTAAGACTCAGATCTTAGTTATGGCCATGCACTCTATCAAAATTTTCTTTCTCGTTTTAGGAGACTCGATACATAGAAAAATAAAATCTAACTAGGAAGCCAGGACAAATGCGTCAGAAGAGAAGAAAGTAAGTTAGCACAATACTAATGCCCCACGACAGTGCTTCTAAAACTTTCATGTACATTTGAATTACCTGAAGTTCTTGTTAAAATGCAGATTCTAGTTCAGGTAAGTCTAAGGCTGGGGCTGAAATCTGCATTTTTGCAGAACTTGAGGTGTTATCTGTGTATGATGATGGTCCTGGAACACATTTTAAGTAGCAAGGCCCTAGAATACTTTACAGATCAAATATTCTATGAAATGATTCTAGATCCTAAGTGAATTCTATGGTATGCCAAGGGGTAAAATAGCCACCAGCGAGAAAGTTTCACTAGTTTTGGCTTCCTGGAGGAGGCACACTTTAGAATTGGTCTTGAGGGGCACCTAGGTGGCTCAGTCTGTTGAACCTCCAACTCTTAGTTTTGGCTCAGGTCATGATCTCAGGCTCCTGAGATGGAGCCTGGCTCTGGGCTCTGGGCTCTGCGCTCAGTGTGGTCTGTTTGGGATTCTCTCTCTCCTTCTCCCTCTCCCCCTGCTTGGGCTCTCTCTCTCTAAAATACATACATACATACATACAATCTTTAAAAAAATAAATAAAATTGGTCTTGAGATAATAAAAATGGATTGACATGGAGGAGGGTATTACCATTGTGAAGAACAGTTTGGACACAGCATTAGGAAGGAGGAAGAAGACATGAAGCAGAATACAGTAGGGGGTAGGACAGGTCTGAAGGATGAGATTTGGGTGGGAAATATGAGATAATAAAGTGGGCTGGGTGTGGCCAAAAGGGATAAATTCAGGTAATTTTAGATGTTCAGTTTATTTGCCATTTAGCCAGAGAGGATGAATAAGCAGAGAAAAGGTATGTGAATGTGTACCAATTTCTTGCCTATGTGAGAAAAAAAACAAAACAAAACGAAGGGTAAATATGAGAGAGGCTCTGGGTACCAAAAGTCTGTATCTTATGTTCAAATTTTAGGTTTTTATTTATGCTTGGGTAAAAACGCAAGTAAGAGAAACAGAAGTTTCTTTTTTTAAAGTTAAATAAAGGAACTAAACTTTAAACTCTAAGAGCTTGTTCTCTCTCAGCATAAGGAAATAATTAAAGGCAACTCTTACTCAAATGGTCTTGAAAACCATCAGAGTATTTCACAGTGTCTGTTTACAATACTAAGTGCACTGTGACCCTGTGACTTGTTTATTATTATGCTTCTGTGAACATCATGGTCTACTTAAGTGGCTGAACAGAATCTTGATTATAAGTAAGTGTAGCGATAGGAAGCAAGAATTTGGAGAAGAGGATAAAATTATCAATAAATTTGGGCTCTGTCTAAAAGTGTGACAACAAATATGCTTCTATTTCATTTTCAAATTTATATTTTTAAAAATGCATATAAAGTCACATAAAATAAAGCTCAGAAAGAATTACAAAATTCTCTGTAAAATGGGAAAAAGAATCTCCATCAGAGCATCTCCTTCATTTGAATCCAACTCTGCGGTGCAGAATTTGTTTAGTAGATTTTGATACACACACTGTATGTATATATTCAGGAACTTCAATGAATTTTTTTTTTTAAAGGCAAAGCCTTCTTTTTGTTAAGATTTTTTTTTTAAGATATTATTTATTTATTTGACAGAGAGAGAGAGAGACAGAGACAGCAAGAGAGGGAATACAAGCGGGGGCGGGGGTGGGAGAGGGAGAAGCAGGCTTCCCACAGAACAGGGAGCCCAATGCCGGGCTCGATCCCAGGACCCTGGGATCATGACTTGAGCCAAAGGCAGACACTTAACGACTGAGCCACCCAGGCGCCCCCTGATGAATTATTTTTTAAATCACATAACAAATTATATAAAAATCATACGCAAAATTGGGGACTAGATTTCAGCCTTTGGGGCTATGTACTTTTAAAATATATGCTTTGGCATATAATATGCCATAATTCCAGATTTTGAAAACTTCACAATTCTACCTGAAATGTTTAGTCTCCTGCAATTTTCTCAGATATCACTTCAAAATGTATACAAACATATTTTTCCAGGAATTTGAGAATGATACCTTTGAAAGAAGCATTGTTTCATTTTGCAAGCCAGTATGGCAGAAAGAGTGTCAAGTTTAAAATCGTAGGTTTGCACACTAGTGCTGCCACTTACAGGTGAGAAAGCAGATTACCCCTCCTACCCCCTCATCTCACACCTGTGAAATAGGTACAGCAATAATTCCACAGAAGATTGTCAAGGGATGAAATGGGATGTAGCATAACTGGAAAACTTTGGAACATTGCCTGCCATATTGTAGGCACTGAATCTGTCACTCTTCAAGGGATATGATCACGTCCCATTAACATTTTCTAATCACAGTATCTATCAAAGCATCAAGTTTACAGTGCACCTCGTAAGAGTATGTTGGGAAAAAAAAAACATTTTCTACTTTTATGCATGCAACAGAAGACAGACAATCTGGAGCAATATGATTCTGGAAAAGCATATTAACTCTAAGTACATTCCAACAATATATCATGCTTTAACAAGTTTTTCACATCTGAGACAAATTTCTAGCTTTAGTATTTAAGGATTTGAGTTGATCCTCTTAAGAATTCCTCTTCTGTTTAGATGATAGAAAATCACAGTTATTTACTTTTACTGAGAGAAAGATGGGGATTTTACAATTATCTAATTTAGTGGTAAGCAATAACTTTTTATAAATATAGAGTCTGCTTCTAAATCCAATCAGTATGTGTTTATTTAGTAATGAAATATCAATTTGAAGGACATTCCTAGAAAGCACTGTATTAAAAAAGAAAACAAACAAAATGATTATTTTTATAGCAATGAGACTTTTTTGCATGTGGTTAAGGGACAGATTCCTTTCCTATTTATTCAATCACCTAAATGTCCACTGCTGTCCCAAGCCTTCAGTTCCTCTCCAATTCTAATTTACTTCACTTCTTAGAATTTTCTCCACGACTGCCCCAAGCTGGCCATGAGGGAGAATTCTATCTGCCTCCAGCATCCTTGCTAAACTGAAAATATGCACAGCACATGTGTTGTGTCCAAACTTGTATTCACACGTGCAAGGTTGAAAATGATCAAGTTGATCTTTTGTAAACATCCAGCTCAAGTAAAAATTACTACTATTTTTTCTCATGTATATAACTGACTACTATCTTATGCTTGAACATCTCTATCGATAAAACAACCCATTCTAATTTTAGACAACTCCAATTCTTAGACATTCTCTCCTGCATGGAATTAAAATAGCTTCCCGAACATTTCACATGATTCTTCTATCTAGTTTCAACTTTTGGAGGAAGAGAGCTAAAATTTAATTCATTATCAGTTTGCAAAATTTATGAATGAATTTTCTCATTCCTGTCTGTGTTAAGAGGAAAAGTCAAACTGTCACACTGACAATGAGCAAAAAAAAAAACAGATCCAGAGAAGGCTAAGTCTCAGTACAGAATTGCTTTGAGCTGTTCAGACAGCCATGGATGTGTGTATCAGGAGAAAGAAGGTAAGGTGCAAGTTGAGAAGGATCTGGCAATGCACAGTTTTCTGTAATTGTTTTTCCTCTGTAACCTATACAGTGAAAACTATCACCTTGCATGCTACTCAGTGTGGCAATATAAGAGAAATTGTAATAATTTGTGGGTAATTTACATATTCACAATAACTAACATGCATAACATTAAATGCTTCCCGTAAATTGTGTGGTAAGGTCTGTGTGATTACAACAGGAAGGTTTATCCTGTAAACTCAGCTTTTCACTGTTATAATGAGATCAGTGGCTACCAATTTAATGACCCTAATTAAAGCATAAATTGCTTGCCTATCTTGCTTTATTTTGAATCAGAAAAATTCTTTTAACATTTTTCTAGTTCTGCTGTTGAGATATTCTCTCCCCAGATGTTTTCTAGTTCTGCTACTGTAATATCCTAGAACTCTAGCGGGATTCCTCCTCCAAAAGAAACAGGTATGTCTTTTCAATAAGATCTGTCATTCAATCAGATAATCTTCTTGACCTCTGCCATTTGTCCTCTTTAAGACATGAAACTGCCTTGACTACTTTTACTATATACTCTTTGACTTTTCATCAACTCTTTAACATACTACGAACTATAAACTCTCAGCAGGAAATTAAACAGAGTTTTCACTTGGATTAAAAAACCGAGTATCATCTAAACCTTCTAAACTTAATGAAAGTCCCTAAACACATGGAGAACAAATAAACACCACACCTCTGTTTCCAGAAATCTTCTTAAGGCTCTTTTCTTTTTGATGCTCTTCCTTCTAACATAAACTGCAAATGTTAGACCCACGATGACCAGGATGAAGAGCCCGCCGATGACTCCCGCTGCAATTAGGGGAGTTCTGCCCACCAGAATGAAAAAGAAGAAGGAAAAAAAAAAGAGTAAGAAGAGAGACAAGACAGAGGGAGAAAAAGAGCAGTTGTGCAATAAATACATTATCCACATATCACAGGTCTAGTCAGTTAGAAGAAATACAAATAAAAAATGCACTAGAGCCATTACAAAATTTTGGGGGGAATAAAAACTATTCCCGCTTTTTGTTTTGCTTTGTTTTTTAAATAATAAACCATGCACATACAACTAATCTTTGGAGATGAGTGGCCACAGCATGCCATTCAACAACAACAACAACAACAACAGCAACAAAATAACACTTGGTAACCAAATGAAGAACACCTGCCTAAATGTTGATATACAAGCATTTAAAATTATTTTCATTTTACTTTTTCTCTAAATAGATGGAAATATATTTTAATAACATTGTTGTGGTATATAATATTATTTTCAACATTTTCTCTAAAGTAGGCTTTCTCAACAGTGGCACTATTGACATTTTGGGCTGGATACTTGTTTGTTGTGGGGGACTGCCTTATGCATTTTGGGGTGTTTATCAACATCCTTAGCCTCCATCCACTAGATGCCAGTAGCACCCCATCCTCTAGTCACAGCAGTTTCTCTAGATACTGTCAAATGTCTGCCAAAGTCACCCCCCCAGCCCACGCCCCCTGCCTTGAGGACTACTACTTTAAAGCAAAAATGCATGGTCTGGAGATATATGGACCCCACACCTCTGGAGCATTAGGGTACCAATAAGAGAGATGTCTTGAAAGTGCTGTTTCAAACGCTGGCTAGGCAACTCTGCTGGGATAAAGGGCGGGAAAAAGGTAAAAAATTGGGTCAGACAGGTTTTCAGAGTTATGACAGGAGTAATTATGCTTATCAAAAGTGTGCCGAAGCATCATATACCCATAAAAGAGGTCTACACATTAAGTATTACATTAAAAGGGGGTTGGAAGAGATTCACGAGAGATTTCTATTCTTAAAGTGTTTCTCTAATACATTGTTACCTAAGATATAATTTTGAAACTAATCACTTATTTTCAAAGATAAATTTTTTCCTTTCCTGAAAAGTAATATTTATAGTCTTAACTTCTTGTTCTAGAGTAGAATAGTATGTATGAGCTTTCTGTGGTCAGAGCCCTGACGTATATTAATTTCATATGTCATAGCAAATAGCCCAGAGTAAAACACATAGGTGTTACCTAATACATATTTGACCATGAAGCCATGGCAGAAATGAAAACTAAAAAAGAACTTCCTGAATGTCCGTGCTTTCCATAGTAAAGTATTTTATACTTTATATTCCTATTTGCAGAAGAATCTACCCAGTACAGCTACATTCTTTTAGAAAAAAAAAAAAAACTACTTGCCCTTGCAAAATAAACTTTTGCTCAAAGACACATCAGAAATAATGATAGTGGATGATCCTAAATAAAATTTTTAAATTTTAAAGAGCTCTTGAAAAAAATCTGTGTCACTTCTATAAATGAAGCCATGTCTTTTAAAGATTATGACTGTTATATTGCCATATAAAGCTACAGAAAAACCTTAAGAAGTATTTCATCCTAAAGGTTGTTTCCTGACAGCCAAAAGTACTATAGCATACTGGAATGTTGCTATAATTCAACCAGATTTTCCTAAATGGAACTTTAAAAAGATATAAATATCTATGCTGAGAAAATTAAACTGTAGTATGGACACAAACTCATCATTGTGATGTGTTTTGGCGTGTGTAAGATCATATTTTTGAGCATGGCAGTTAAATATGTATTTCAAAAAATATTTTAAGTTTTCAGTTCAAGGCATACTTTCCAGTTCAAGTGCCTAACATATCCCTGAAAAAGCCATTACTATACAAAGGGTTGTATTTTTTTTCTTCAACCCGGTATTTTTATTGCAAAGGATTTATGTATTTCTGAGAATAGTGCCCAACATTTTATTAATTGTACATTTGAACTAAACTCTAAACTTCCCTGCTTATCTATTTTGCAAAAGAATAAGTGGCATGAATTTATGAAATATATGTCAATGTCACTGTAAATTAACAGAAAATGCTCTATTTTGTTTTTGTTTGTTTTCTATTTTAAGAATCATTCCTAATAGAACAAAATGAGTCTTCTGCCTCCATTCTTTCCATTTAATTTGGGTGGCTATCAATTGTCATGTCATTACTACTTAAGTTGCAGCAATGCACATAAAACACTCAAAAACTCAATAGACAGTAATTTCTATGTTTTTCTAGTTAGCATTTACATTCAATACTTTCCCATAGCAGTTCCTTGGTTGATTTGCATTTCTTTACCATTTTTCTTCTCTTACCCCTCTGCAAGGGTGGTAGAGGTACAAACAACCCGCAGAGGTAAAGAACGAGAGCTTCTACACCTAAAAATCATACACAAATGTTTTGTTGTACATTTTAAGTGGTCAAATTCTTCATATTTCAGTAGAATTTATTCTTGAAAAATAAATCATAAGCCATAAGTAAGCAACCAGTTAATTGAGAAGGGGGGGATATTCCATAAGACAACTTATATGTTCCCTTTAATAAGTGAATATGAAAAATAAGGTACTGGCTTTGATTAAGAAGACTTACTAGTCATAACAACAAGATGTGAAATGCAATCCTGGACTGGACCTAATTTGGACAACCATTTGTATAGGCATTTTTTAGGTAACTTGAGAAGTTTGATTATGGATTAAGTAGTAGGTGAGATAAAAATGTACTGCCACAGAAAGATGCAGGCTAGAAATTTAAAAGATTGGGTTAGAAACAGTAGAATCTCAATGAGAGAAAAATCCATACACGCACATGTATGTGCATAAGAAGATCTAGAATATACAGTAACACACTAAACAGTACTTGTCTTTGGATAGTATGACCATAGTGCTCTTATTTTTGTATTTTTACCATTTAATGGGCATTTTCTAATTTTATACCATGTATTTATATTTCCTTTGAAATAAAACTTTGTTAAATTTAAGAAAAACAGAAAAATAAATCATTGTCTAAAAGTTTAGTTTATAATAATGGCCTTGTTTTCTTTTTTTCCTTGACTGTTTACTTTGCATATTTTCAATCAACTTGTTTTGTTACCCCCTGTCCACTTTTACAATGTAAGTACTTTTTTTTTTAAGTTTTTATTTATATTCAGTTAACATACAGTGTAAAATTAGTTTCAGGTATACAATTTAGTGATTCAACACTTCCATACATCACCTGGTGCTCTTCACAGCAAGTACACTCCTTTAATCCCCATCACCTATTTACTTTTGTAGATATTTTCTATTAATTACGATATAATGTGTCTGAGACATTTACCACTCACTATGTTGTATACAGTTAACACTTTGCTTCATAAAACCAACCTAATCCAAAAAGTTAACACTACTTACACATTTCCTACTCTCCAAAATTTTGATGATCTCTAGATATTAGTGGGTGTAGGATAGATGCCCATTTTTTCTTTTTTTTTTTTAAGATTTTATTTATTTATTTGAGAGAGAGAGAATGAGAGACAGAAAGCACGAGAGGGAAGAGGGTCAGAGGGAGAAGCAGACTCCCTGCCGAGCAGGGAGCCCGATGTGGGACTCGATCCCGGGACTCCAGGATCATGACCTGAGCCGAAGGCAGTCGCTTAACCAACTGAGCCACCCAGGCGCCCTAGATGCTCATTTTTTCTTGAGAGTTAATGCTTCAACTCTTATGAGGGCCGTTTAGATAAAGAGGATATAGCTACTTAAGTTGCTTTTTAAAATTGTTGTATATCCTCCCTAGGATATACAGCTGGCTATTGGGATAGAGGATAGTAGGATATAATATTGACAACTAAGCTATATTGCTGAAAGAAAATGTTTCTTTTTACATGTGAGTCAGAGTAACCTCTTAAAAGGCTGAGATGTGACACTGTTAACAAGATCATAAGGGTCAAACGCCAAGGGATCTAGAATACTTTGTCAACCCTTATCTGTTTCAGGAGTATTGTTTGTCATTTGCCTATATTTTAAAAAGGGATGGGACCCCTAAAATATAAAAGAGAGGGCACTTCAAGTGCCAATTCCAAGCTTAGATTAGAAAGATGTAATCAACTGATAATTTACCTTATTCTGTGATTTGGAGATACTATAATGAAACATATTCTCCCACTATTCATAGAGACTAATATAATAAAGATTCTGAATCACAAATGAACTTGGCTCATTTATTTAAAAACATATAATTTAGTTTTCATAATTTCATTTAGAAGTTCAGAGACAACAGAATGTATTATATTCTATTGCCTTGAATGCAATTATCTGTCTTAAACAGTTACCTGTAAATGAGTAATGTCTCCCAAAACTACATCATTCATAATAAGATATATTCTTAACATTTATTGCTATATTTGGACCATACTATTCCTCACTGGAGAATATAAAATGTGAGAGAATACATGAAGCCTGATTTTATAGACATCCAAGTATTTTCCTTCATTGATCTGTTTCTTTCCAGATCAGGTCAGAAAAAAAAAAATGTAGTAAAGTCAATATAATTTATGATTACAAGTCAATGGCTCTAAACTATCTAATATACCATTTTCCATTTAATGTCAGGGCAGACTATCCTTTAAAAATATACAGTGGTATTTTCTTTAAAATTGTAAACTTAGTAAAACTGGTATTTTGTCTAATATAGTCACTGCAAAAGAATGCTAAATCTGTAAGATTCTTTTATAGGTATATCACCAAATAAAAGGACTTTAATTTTATAATATAGGTATATTTTTCTTTTTTTCTTGAATACAGAATAATTTTCAAAACAGATAAGAGAAACAACCTGAAGTCCTATCAAACACCAATGGCATAATTTGCAACCAACAGTATGACTTTAAAGAGTGAGCTCCATTTTTGGAAACTTCTAAATTAAATTAAATATGTGGAGATGGTTCTCAGGATTCACTGGATCAGACTTAGAGTGGATTCACTGTTTATTTATGGGTACTAAAGGTTAAGAATTTTTAAAAA